GTATCAGTATCAATATCAGTCTCAGTATGAGCATTAGTATAATTGTTAGTATTAGTATCAGTATGGGTATTAGTATTAGTATTAGTATTAGTATTAGTATTAGTATTAACATTAGTATTAATATCAGTATGAGTATTGGTATTAGTATCAGTATCAATATTATTATTAGTATTAGTATTAGTACCAGTATAAGTATGAGTATTGTTATCAGTATTAGTAGCATTATTAGTACCAATATTAGTATTAGTATTAGTATTAGTATTAATATGAGTAACAAATATTAATATTAGTATTACTATTACTATTAGTATTTGTATCAACATCAGCATCAGCATCAGCATCAGCATCAACATCAGCATCAGTATTATTATTAGTATTAGTATTAATATTAGTATTCGGTTAGCATTAATATTAACACTAACATTAGCATATTATGATTAATATTAATATGCCTATTAGTATTAGGGTTAACATTATGATTATAATTAGTATTGGTATTAGTATTAATATTAGCATTATGATTAGAATTATGATTAGGATTAGCAGTAGCATTAGCATATTAGGATTGGTATTAAGAATAGCGTTACCATTAGCATATTTCGATTTTTATTAGGATAAGAATTAGGATCAGTATTATTGTCATTATTAGGATTATAATTAGAGTTAGTGTTAGAATTAAGATTCGCATTAACATTATGATTATGATTATGATTATGATTTGGATTGTGATTAGTATTATAGTTATAATTAGAATTGGCATTATGATTAGTATTAGGGTTATGAGTAACATTAGCATTAATATTATGTTAGGATTAGCATTATGATTAGCATTAGTATAATAGCTTTGGTAATGGTAATGGTAATGGTAATGGTTATGATAATGGTAATGACAATGGTAATGATAATGATATTGATAATGGCATTAAACCTATTGATAGCGGTATTTGTATTGATATTGATATTGATATTGGTATTCATATTATTATTAGTATTAGTAGTAGTATTAGTATTAGTATTAGCATTAGTATTATGATTATAATTAGTATAATGATTAGTATTATGATTGTAATTAGAATTATGATTAGTATTATAATTAACATTAGCATTACAGCAATGGTTATGACAATAGTAATGGCAATTTTAATGGCAATGGTAAGGGAAGTGGTAATGGTGATGGTATTGGTAATGATAATGGTAATGGTGTTAGTGTTGGTGTTGGTTTTGGTTTTGGTATTTGTATTGGTATTGGTATTGGTATTGATATTTGTATTGGTATTGGTATTGGTATATAAATATTAGTATTAGTTTTGACATTAGTATATTAAAGTTAGCTTTATCACATTGGTATATGTAATAATATTATTAGTATTAGTATTAGTATTAGGATTATGAGTTATTTCTCTTCTACACTCGATGAAAACTACAACGGGTGATTTTTTTACCGTTGATCTACACTCCAATGTGTATCTTTGTGTGTTTGTGTGCATATGAATGGTAAAAATATACCCTATTTATTTTACTGGGTGTAATATAGAATAAATTGAGGATTATGATTACGATTAATATTAATAAAAAAAATATTGGAATTGAAATTCCCGATGACATGCTGATTCGTGATTCTACCAATTCATTTTTGGATCTTATCGAGTTTGTTTATCCCAATATGGAGTGCAACATGTTCAATTAAATAACCCTTATGTATGATTTTTATCAAGTTGGAATCTGGCGATACGACTAACGTTACAAACAATGTGGTACACCTGAAAACTTTTCAACATATATTAAGGTAACTATGTAAAATTGTATACATTATTAAATAACAACCTTTAATTTTTTATTACTTATATGTATTGTTATTCATAATTTGTAAGTTAATTTGTATTGTACTATGAACTTACTATGGATTCCACTCAAGATTTTTTATCAAGTGTAAAATGATTTTATTTCATTAAACATTAATATTGCTATTGTTTTGGTAATTGTTACTTATTTCGTATGACCACTGTACAAAATATGTAGGTTACTCGCACTGTATTGGATACATGCGTTAGGACGGTTGTTATCAAATGCAATAACAATAATTATTTGGATCAAATTAAGAATTTGAATTAATTGGTCGTTATGGTTGTACAAGTTTGGGACCAACGATGTATTCACTCTTTGTATACGGAAAGTAAACCTTTGATTTTTAATTTTTTCACTTATTTTGGCTTTATTCATCACTTACACCATACGGAATAGTTTTTTATTAAATATTTTTCTACTACTTTGTATTGCATATCAACCATTCATCTTACTATTTCGAAAACTTTTTTTATTATCAAATATTTGTTAGAACTCAATACGCCGTGCATCGCATAGTGACAGGTCAATACACTGTATTGGATTCGTTACATGCGTTTAGGGCGGTTGGTATCAAACACAATAACACCGATTATATGGATCAAATTCAAATTTTGAACAGAGAAAAATCATTATGGTTGTACAAGTTTGGGACCAACGATATATTTGTTCTTTTTATGCGGAAATTAAAACCTTCAATGTTTAGTTTTTTTCTCTTATTTCGACTTATTTCATCTTTTACACCATACAAATTAGTTTTCTTTTTTAATATTTTCTACTTCTTTGTATTACATATCAACAATTGACCTTATTAAATATTTGTTTTACGATGAATACCCCGTGCATCGCACGGGTGTAGTACTAGTTTGTACACAAAATAAAGTACGTACCTATAAACAAAAACATTTCGCAATTTATGAAACACGAGGGTCTTTTCGTAATTTGATCAAATCTGAGTGGATTTAACCGTAATTTACGCTAATTTGTACGATCTTGCCAGGACTTATTTACTGCTGGAACAGATACATCAGCAATCACACTACAATGGGCACTATCAGAGCTAATAAATCACCCTGAAATAATGCAAAAAGCGGCTCAAGAAATCGACTCCCTCATACGAAACAACGAAAGACTCGTCCAAGAATCGGATATTACCAATTTGCCCTACCTTCAAGCCATCGTAAAAGAAACACTAAGGCTCCACCCAACGGGCCCACTAATCGGTAGACAGTCGAGCGAAGACTGCACTATTGCAGGGTACCATATTCCGGCCGAGACTCGATTATTCGTGAACGTGTGGGCCATAGGAAGAAACCCCGATTATTTGGAAAATGCTCTCGAGTTTATTCCAGAGAGGTTTATTTCGTCTGAGCTGGATTTGAGGGGGCAGCATTATAAGTTCTTGCTGTTTGGCAGCGGTAGAAGAGGCTGTCCTGGAATATCTTTGGCTCTGCAGGTTGTTCAGACAACCTTAGCTGCAATGATTCAGTGCTTCGAGTGGAAAGCCGACGGAGTTAGTACTTTTCGTGTCGATATGGAAGAAGGGATTGGAATGACATTGCCGAGGGCTAATCCTCTCGTTTGTTCTCCGGTTTTGAGGCTCAATTCCATTCCATCTAATATTTTTTTTTAGTTCAATTGCTCAATATATATATATATTTTTTAGTACCTCAATTAGTTTCACAAATCCAGAGTCACCGGAGAAATCCGGGAGTCCATAAAATGTTCAAGCTAGCTTGTATATATATTTATCGAGTTTTTAAAAATATATTTGAACTTGGTAATGATTAACAACCGACTTGAGATCCAACAAGCTTAAATCGAGTCGAATAAGAACCGAGATCGAGCACTTTCAATTTTTGTTCATATTTTTTCTAATTAAATTGGAGCTCGAACTTAATACAAACAAAAATAGATCTTCATGCTTGGTTCGTGAGTTTGACAAATTGAACTTAAACGAAACTTTTAAAGAACAACCTCGAATCGATTATCGCCTATCGGGTAAATTAGTTTAATTTTCATGTGAGCCCCTAACTAGTGGATACAATATTAATTTTAGTTTTGTTACAAATAAAATAAATCAACTTGATATCCAAAATCATCTATGTTTACTTATATTTTCTATATAATATGATTGTAAAAAAAAAAAAAAAAAAACAATATTGAATAATTGTCACGTGTACCGTTATATAGTTTGTTTTAGTGCACACCTGCTTATTCTCATAGGCTCAACCACACCGGATTACAGCCCAATTGAACTTCTCCAAAACTATAAAACCGTCCCGCTCACAGAGCAAAGCATGTTTCTTCTTCTGCGTTTTTCATTCTCAGATTTTTTATTCTCTCTGTTAAATCTAACCGCCTCTTTCTCTTTCAAAAATTCAGCTCGTATCTGCGTGTTTGCCGTTACAAGGTATGATAGATTCTTCGCTATATGTATACATTGTACGTATATACCATTGTATGCGTAGTTACTGTGTGAGAAAGTGTGTTCGCGAGGGAAAATCAATTACGCCTTTGAGGAATTTAGGGCTATCGGATCAGCTTTTTTGCGATTTAAGCGTGTAATTGTATGTGTTTTGAAAACGGAAACGAAAATTAGCTGCTGAAATTTCATGTTTGTGCGTGTAATTGTATGTGTTCTGAGAACGAAAATGAAAATTAGCTGCTGAAATTCCATGTTTGTACGTGAAATTGTGTGTGTTCTGAGAACGAAAATGAAAATTAGCAGCTGAAATTTCATGTTTGTGCGTGAAATCGTATGTGTTCTGAGAACGAAAATGAAAATTAGCTGCTGAAATTTCACGTTTGTGCGTGAAATTGTGTGTGTTCTGAGAACGAAAATGAAATTTCATGTTTGTGCGCCTTTGTGTGCGTATGTGTAATGTGATTTTTCTTCTCTTATTTTGAAGCAACAATGTCCAATTGGCTTCGAAAGCTTTTCGTCTGCTTGGGTAAAGCCGGTGTCCGTGGGCCGTGCCGATGACAGCGATGCCGGTGCCCGTGCCGATGACTATCCGGAGAATATATTGTCGGAGGACCTTGTGAAGCACTCGTCTGGAGAATTCTCTATGGCGATGGTTAGAGGGAACAGACATGTAGAGGACCGTTGCCATGCAGTGGTCAGCCCAGCCGGTACATTCTTTGGCCATGGTGGCTCCGCCGCCTCTCAATTCGTGTTTGAGCATTTATATACTAATTTCACAAGTTGCGTATTTCTCCCCCCCTTTTCTTTTTCTTTCTTTTTTTTTTTTTTTTTTTTATTAATACAAAACGTTTTTCTTGTTTTTTTTGGTGGTAGGGATTTTACAAGAAGCAGGGGGGGTTATGTCTGCTGAAGTCTTGAGGAGTGCATTTTCTGAAACATAAAATGAGTTCATCGCGTTGATTCGAAAACAATTTTGGCGAATTCCAGCAATCGCAGCCATTGGATCATGCGTTTTAGTTGGGGTGCTTTGGGGGAACGATCTCTATTTGGCCAACCTAGGTGACTGTCGAGCAGTGATTGGTGGTTTAATGGAAGGACAATTGAGGGAACATGCGATGACTGTTGACCATAATGCTAGGTCTTCAAATATAAGAAAAGAATTACAAGAAGCGCACCCTGATGTTCCGGACGTTGTTCTTAAGAGAGGCGTTTGGCGGGTCAAGGGCAAACTTCAGGTAGGCGATGAATTTAGTTTTTTAATTTCTTGTTCTTTTAGCTAATCTAATTTGCTTGAATATTATTTCTGTGTTTCTTGCTTCTTGGACTTTTGCAAGTGACTTATTAAGATGTGTAGTTATTTTTACATTCTTTATGAAAGGTACATATTTGAATTCTTAACCAGATGAATTCTATTAAAACTATTATCCGGGTTGAATTAAAAAAAAAAAAAAAAAAAAAAAAAAAAAAAAAGAGATGTGTATTTGTTAGGGTTAGGGCTTCAGTTTTGGGGATTTGACGAACGAGGGGATAATATTTTGTTTTTTTGGTGACGAGAGCCATTGGGGATGCTTACCTCAAATTTCCGGAATTCTCTTTGAACAGATATCCAAGATATAAGCTCAACAAGCCTATTGTTCGACCAGTGGTGAGAGCTGATCCAGAGATAACGAGGACAGTTTTACACACAGATGATAAATTTATTGTCTTCGCAACTGACGGGCTGTGGGATGAATTATCCAATACAGCGGTGGTTCATATAGTTAGCGGGGAGCCTCGACTGGTATGTGATCGTATTTGAATACCAATACTAATTATGAATATTATAATTACTTGTTTGGTTTTTTTTTAATTGGTGTTTTAAGGGGATTGCAAAGACACTCATCAGAAGGGCACTAGAAAAAGCAGCAACCAGGAATAAGATGACGTACGAGCAGTTAAAGAGGCTGAACGAGGACCAGCGTGAAAGAAGAACAATCCACGATGACATGACCGTCATCGTGGTGTTTTTCGATCAAGCAGCACCGAGTGAGGAACCCGTGGTAAGCTATACCTTGGGTAATGCTGGACCATCAAGCAACCCCGGTGCTGGACCATCAAGCAGCTCCAATGCTGGTATAGTTCTTTATTATCACTAATAAGCTTATCCCAATTATGCTAATTTTCTTTGCATCACTATTATGGTTAAAACCTGATGAAACTGAGTGTAAACTCTGACGTTGATTACTATGATTGGCACTTTTTTTTCAGAAAAAAAAATCTTGTTAATTAGTAGACATTTTGAAATTTGAATTACATTAAGTGCAGCCTGTTGATTTAGTCCAAAAGAAAGAACTAATATACAAAAAATTCAATTTTGTATTTGCAGTTCAAGCTGTTCGTGGTATCTACAGGGCCGAGCAGCTGGTACATTGGAAACCCGAAGCTTGGATCGGAGTTCAGTGCTTCAAATCATCCATAATCAACCTGTAATTTCTTGGTTATTTTTATTTCATATTATAAATTCATTTCTTAAACTAAGAGCAATATTCATAGTCAACCTCTTCCTTTTTCAGTCAACTTCACGGGCTGGAGCTCACTGGAAATCTTGGCTATCAGCTATCCAATCTAAAAACTTTGAAGCATATGTAAGAAATTGTGGTATATGTAATTTTCGTTATTAATTCATTAGTATTTTGATAATGTTCTTGTGACCGATTTTGTGTAAACTTCATTTTGACCGGGACCTTAGTTCAAATAACATTGAAGGCTCAATCCCGTATTGTTTACCTCCAAACCTCACACACTTGTAAGGACACTACTCCACTTAGCTTGTTGCCTTTTAGAATTAATAATTCTAACTTCACATGCTTTTGCAAGAATTAGCTATTCTAAGTCGTACTGTACTTATTGCCTTGTGGATCTAAAAGAAATGTAAGTTAAATCAGTAAACCATATTCCTTATTTAGTAGGCATTATTTTTACTGATGATTCACATATGCAGTTTTACTGCTTGTCAACATATCATTAGTGGTTGAAGATGAATAGGATTTCAGCTCTTGATTTGCCCCTTTATCTGCTTATTATGCTCCTCTTTTGGATCAAAGACTCAACCAAGTTTTCTTGGTTTTTTTCCCATTTTCACCATTGCTGAGAATACAATCTCAATCGCCTTTCATCAGGGATTTGTCGTTTAATAACTTCACTCGAGATCTGCCCACCTCATTCAGATCACTGACAAACCTTACAGGCTTGTGAGTTTTCGTCTTCTTCTTCTTCTTCTTCTTCTACATCCTCATTATTATGGGACACTACCTAAAAATGCAATTAAATGACAAGAGTTATAATTTTCAGGTTTTTCTTATCCAATCTCTCGCTTACTGACTTGTACGTCTTCTCCAATAAAATTTCAGAATTTATTCCAATCTAGTTCAGTTGTTCATGTACTCACCTACTCCGATTTTCAGGAATATCGAAGACAACCGTTTCAGTGATGTTATTCCTGAAAACTTTCAAGCTATAGCCACCGCCTTGAGGTAATCCATTTATAAGCTTCTTCATTCCCCTCATAAATTTGAAACATTATAGTTATTCAGGATTGGTGGGGTCGCTCTCGTTGCATCATTTTCGGCTATTGCACTTGTGGTGCAAAAACACCGCTCACGTGGGAAAACACTCGGCAGCTTGGAGAGCAGTGAGAATTCAATGAGATCTCTACCAATCGGCACAGTCCAAGGTGAAACACATGTCGTTTTAGCAAAACATAAAACCAACTGATTAAAATGTCTTGTGGATATTTATTTATATTTTTCTGAAAACTGTACACAATAGCAGAGCTTCAAATAACAACAAACAGCTTTGGTGAAGAAAACACCCTCTGTGAGGGTTCCCTTGGTTCTGTTTACAGAGCAGAGTTTCTAGATGCAGAGCAATCGTTGACGAGATGGGCTTCATCGAAACTTCACGACAGCACATCATTAGGACAGATGGTTGATCCAGCTATTATAAGAACAATCTCCTCCAAATCTGCCTCTCGTTTCGCTGACATCATATCTCCGTGTATACAGGTACCTCAAAAAACGCCATTAAGTAGGATTACCATATTGTTTCATTACATAAAATTTTACTGTCTGAAAATGCACCATCACAGCCTGAGCAAGAATTCAGGCCCACCATGTCTGAAGTTGCCGAGTCTTTGATGCTTCTGCCGCAAAAGCCGATTGCCCCAGATGGCCCTGAAGCTGACTCTTTCGATCGATCTCTTAGGTCAACCAATACCCGTTTCTGTGGATCACCTACTCTAAGCTGCTACTCTGTTTAAGAGTCAGTTGTAATAGCATGCACTTTGATTTCTTGAAAATTGGTGTGTGTGAAATATAGGGTACAAGTGTTAATAACACATTGCAATGTAAAACGGCATTTCTAAGTAAATAGACAAACACACTTTGTCACACCCAATTCTTTAGGTTGAGATAATGCAGTTGTCGATAAAATGTCTGATTCAGTAACATACAAAAACAATTAATGCAAATGTTGAAACAATGTTGTTTGCTATTGTTCAGTACAAGGAACATCTAGTTATACATTTAAGCCACTACTGAGCAATGAGTTATTGATATAGATAGGTCTTCCATCGAACAGTTTCGAAAGTCTCTTCAACTCTCTCGTTTTTCACTAGGGCTGCTTACTGCAAAATTGAAGTTTTCTTAGAAAGTCAACTTTAAAAGTCAAACCCTAATATAGATTCCACTTTCGTAACTTAACATAAGATGAACTCACTTGTTTCGGGGCTTCGGAAGACAATGAATTTTGCAGCTCCACACGTTTGTTATATATATGTCTTTTAACTTCACCTCAGTGTGCTTGTTTTCTTGTGATATGGGCTTTAGCATGAAAGAGAACCTCAGTAAAAATAAACGTAATAAAGTAAGTTCGCCTCTTAACAAATCCCATTTCTTTTTTTTCTTTTTTTATTACTAGGGTTTTTGTTTAATTCATTTGCTCATTGTTTAATTCTGCACTGCAGTAGAGGAGGAGGAGGATGATATATGAAGGAGGATGCAGTTTAATTGGTTGAAAAAGGTGGCCCGGGTTTCTCCTGTATAACTAATGGCGCGAAAATCAACAACAACGAGGATAACAAAACTGTGCGCTTCTGCAGGTTTATATGTTATGAATCTTGATATTAAATTTTATATGTGAAACTGCATGCTCTTGTATTATATTGGATTTACAGTTCAAAAACAAAAGTTGAACTCCTAGAAAGATAAAAGCTAAGCGTGTTATTCTGATACAAGGTACCTCCAGAGGCGCCAGTAGTGTCGTGAATTGTCATTGGATGAGGATCATATATTATAGCCAGGTTGAAATCGGTCGAAATGCTGCCTTTGTCGGAATCTACTGTTGGGTGTAAATACCTACACGCAAGTGCACGTATCGTACAAGTAATAAAGTGGACAATTAAGTCCGGATATCGAACCCACAGGGAATATTTAATTACTTAATCCTAGACGCTAAATTCTAGCAATTATTATCAAGCCCACCCTACACAGTCGACTTTAGAGAGAATTAACTAAATTAAAAAAAATTAAAAAGACAAAGCAAGAAAGCAAATTAAACACGAAGATTTATCAGAGTAAACAAGCCTAGGATTTTATTCTCCCTCCTATGTGATTATTACTCCCCCAATTCCTTCAATAATGCAAGTAATTAACCCGAATTATTAACCTGAGATGTTAAATTAATCATAACCCGCTTTTCTCGTGTATTACGATTCTAATACCCTAGATTCAATTATTGTATTCTTACGTAATTAATTCTAGAACATAGCATTAAACACAAATCTCAATAATGGCTACCTAAGAGATTAACTATATTCCTATGTTAATACCACAGAGGCTCTTCTACCACAGTTCTAATTATTAATCCGATCTTCCGATTCATGCAATCAATAATAACATAAAAGCACATAAGGTGATCAAGTTCATGCACTTAATAAAACAAGTAGAAGAAATAATCTTGAATTAAAACTTGCATAAAATCATAGAAACGGGTTCATAAATCCCACATAGGGTTCCAAATAAAATCCTAGAAACTAAAGACTTAGCTCCTCGTGATTCTTATGATAAAGAAAAC